CAGATGTACCATTGTGTGACCGTGGAGGGATGCAGATCTCGATATTCCTTCTGATAGAGCGGCGTTGTGACACAAGCGATGACAACCATTGCAAAGACTGATGCGTAGATGAAAGTCGATATCGAGTACCAGGCTATCTTGTTGGGCTCGACCCCGTCGAAGCGCTCGAGGCCTCTGGCTGGGCCCACAAGCCTTTGGCAGAAGCGTCGAATGCGGCTGCTCGGAGGGAAGATGTATAAGGAGGTGTTGTATCGAGGGTGCCGGGCGAGATAATCTCTCTGAGCCTTACGCCGAGCCGACGTTGCTGATACTGCCTGCCGAGCCATCTGCCGAGGGTCCAGCGTGCCGTTGGGGCCGTCGAAGCGAAGGTTCGAGTAGAAGGGATTTGGTTCACTCTTATTCACCCGTGCCCATATCTTCTTGATAAAGCCCGGCTTGCCGTCTCCCATCAAGTTTGTGGTACTCCGGTGGGGGGGGCTTCTGTGCTCTGGGTGAAGACGGAGAGGGTCGGCCACTTCATCATCTAAGAACTCCTGCACGACAGTATCCTTGAGAAGCATTTCCATCATGCCGGGGCCGTAGTCCAGCGGATCTTTGCGGCGGCGAGATTTGCCAAAACTGAAAATGGTCGACAACGTGAGGTTGTTCGCGGTATGCCCGAGTTCCTTCCTCTGCAGAAAGGCCTTGACTTGCTCTAGACGTTTCTCATCTTCCGACACGTCAAAGTTCTCCTGGATGACGGCGATGAACATGTTGATCAGGATGAAGAAGGATAGGATAAACCATCCTATGAGAAACACTGCACTGATCCAGGCCGTCTTCATTGCTGTAGTGTAGGAAGTGACCGAGTACAAAATGTTGGTCCAGTTTTCGCTGGAGAGTATCTGATACATGCCGAGAAATGAGTTGTATACTGTATTGAAGGAAATGCGGTTGAGCTCTCCATCGTCGTAAACGGGTATCTGCCCCCTGAAGAGCTGCGCAGCCAGAATTGCGACCAGGAAAGTCATCAGGAACACAAACAGCATGAGGTTCCCGATACCTGCCGCGCTTCCCAGCACTAAAAGGATGAGCTTCCTCGTCACAGGTATTGCCAAGACAACCCGGTATGCCCGAAGAACTTGAAAGACTGTGAGCCACGCGTAAACTCGAGAATTGCGAATTGGCGGTATGAGAATTGCGGAGGTAATGATAGCCAGGCCCAGGTCAAAGATGTTCCGCCAACTTCGATGAAACCTATGCCAGTAGGCTACGATTCGAATGATGATTTCAACATCAAGAAGTATAGTCGCAGCGATCTCGGCGGTGTCGATGAATCTGGCGCGAGAGTGAGACATGGTTGCGCTCCGGCAAGCCTCACTGAGCAAAGCGAAGGCAACCACAAGCAACCAGAACAGCGAAGTCTTTCTATATATGTTTTGCGTTGTTGATGCTTTGCGTTTGAGCGTGTCGGTGTGCGGCTGTGTGGAGGGCTCAGGCTCAACCGTGAAAGCACTCGATTTGCTCTCTTCACGGATGACCTGGAACGAGGAGGTTATGACGGCTATCAGCAGGTTGGTCAACCACAACATCATAATCATGATTGCAGCACCAAAAAAGAGAGCCGCTTGGGGGTAATCAGAGGCCATGGTGTAGTACATGAGGTCGGAGAATGTATTCGCACTCATGATGACAAAGACCAGTTCAAGTGAGTGCAGAATGTTATCGAAGTTGACTGTCCCATTGTACGGGTTCTGTTGCTGCAGACATATCGATCCTCTGGGACACAAGTAGCCCTTGCCTTCAGATGTTCCTTTGACAAGGTCCTCGAGTGATCCCGAGGCACCGAGTTTGACCCAAGGCAGCGTAGCACCAGTTGAGTTATCCAGGTAACCGCCGCAGAATTGCATTTCGTTGGTGAACGAGGCCGTCAAGTTGTTGGGATCCAAGGGATCCAACCACACGCACTGTCGGCTGAAGCTCGATTTGAAGCTCTGCATGCCAATGATGGCAAATAGGAGCCAGAAGAAGCCGATAAGAAACGCTACACGGACAAGGAGAGGCGCTGCCTTCTTTAAGCTCCTCAGGATAATCTATGTCGCATGAGTATGGCACCACGGCAGGTCAGGGGACAGGGAGACTACGACTTACAGCAGTGCCGTGAGTAAGGGCCAACAACCTCAGGATGCGGAGACAACTGAGCATTTTGAAGAGATAGAAATGATGTCGGTTTTCGGAACCAGTGATGCCCAGCACAAATGTGATCCAGAAAGAGAACACGGCAACAAAGTCCATGCGGTTGAACGAATGGCGCAGAAAGGCTCGTCGTGCCAACTGCAAGCGCTGCTGGTCCTCAACCGTCTTTGGGCCCGTCTGCTGCCCCTGCATCAGGGTCGTGAAAGATCGGGCAAACGCAGGGGCCTGTGGCTGAGTAGAGCGAACTCTTTTCACGGACCTCTGTCGTTGAGGCTGGAATATGGTCTTGTATCGATCTGCAATTGCTGCCCTGATCCCCCTTTTGCGATCAATGGTACTATACTCCTCTGCATTCAAAATGAAGCCAGACACCACGATCCTGGCGAATATCTCTAAGGTAAATACAATGAAGAGCCCGAGCATGGTCCAATCTATTGGCTTCGTGCCCCATTGCTCCGGGCGCTCATTGCCGGGACTGAAAACGTCTGGCCAAGATTCTACAGCAAGTAGGATCGTCTGAGAGATGATAAGGAGCAAGATGAAAGGCTCGGTATATGGATTCACCAGGACATCACACATCCATAGCCTGAATCGGCTCTCGGGGGAGAAGATACCCAGCGTTTTCCCCTTGAGGGGATTGTGTGGCTTCGAGCGAGTGGAGGGTGATGGCCGAGTCGGAATCTCGGCAGTCAGGAAAACATTCTGAGCTGCTTTTTCCTCACGAGACGAAGCTGTTTGGGAATAGTACGGCTCATTGCCATACGTTGAAGCTATCGGGTTGGCTGACCTTTCACCTGGTGAATCGCGAGATCGGGAGCGATAGCGTGAAGATCTCTGGTCGGCGACGTCTGACTCCCCGCTGAGGTTTACAACTCTCTGGGACATGGCCCTCACGATTGAACCAGCACGATGAAAGGCTCCAGACGTAGAGGCCGATCGCGATAGGCGATAATCTCCAGGATCTAGCGTCATGCCATAACTCTGGTGGCCACCGGCCATATAGTCTGAGTTTGCACCATGCCCAAGGTTCTTTCCATCGTGGTCCCGTACTGAACTGCTGTCAAGGTCGCGAACAGTCTGGAAACTGTCTCTTGCATGGAATCCGCGGTCGTCACCAAGATGCGAGCCAGATATCGGCTGGACTCCAGCAGTGAGCGGAACTCTATCAGAATCCGAGTAATACGGATTCGCCGTCTCTTCAATGTACTGGGGACCTCCATCGAACGAGAGATAGGAATCTGAAGCAAAGTGCGAGGGTTGCGTAAGTGGTGGTGGAATATCTGGAGGGAGCGCCGCCTGCAGCGCTGTAGGATCTATATGTGAGTCGAAGCTTATGCGATCGTGAGAAGTTGAAATATATGAAGGGTGCCAGTAGGTCGACAGCCCCGTCTCGCTTGTCGTCCTCGCTGTGGTTTCTAACCCAGGAATTTGATTCGAGTCGCGGCGGTCATCAGAGGAGACGGCATTGTGTAAACCGAGAGGCGGCGGCGCGTGCGCAGCACGGTCGTTTGGCGATTCGGATGACATTGTCGCGAGCCTTCTTCGTCACGTTCAGAGCGATAGACGTCGTACCAGCAGTGAAGACTCAACATCACGGTCAGAGCCTGACAGTCTGTCCCCTGGTTGGGATACGCATTGGCCGAGAGCGGTCACTCTGGCCGACCGTTGAGCGTGGTTTGAGGAAAGAGTTTGAAGGTGGGAAATCCAGAACCACGGAGGCCAAGCATGAGCTTGATCTTGAAGCATCACGAGCCAGCTACAGATGCGAGCATAGAGGGTCTCGCTACTGCTAGATTTCTAAAATTAGAAACGCTTACGTGTTTTGTCTAGAGGCACTAAGAAATAGTTTAGTTAAGTCCTAGCTATAGAGAAACTACAAAGTGCTTCATAGTCTTAAAAGAATAATAAAAAATATTTTTATTATATACTGAATTTACATTATAATTAAGAATAGTTTTTATTAAATAAATAAATAGCCTAAGTATAATTATACATATAAGGCTTAATTAGGAGAAAGTATACTTAGAATCTATTTGTATAAAGTTCTATTTTAGGCTAGTTAATTAAACGCTCCTAAATACTACTGCTAACTACATATTAAGCGTACTGACTGGCCCAACTCCCTAGGCCAGCCCCCTATCTGTCACTGTTGCCACCAGCTCACTCTCCTCTGCCTCCCGTTCTTGTCAATCTCTCGAATCTCTCAACATGAGGTGCAGCCTATTATTCGTCACGGCTCTGAGCCTATTTCAACTGGCTGCAGCCGTTGATCAAAAGAAGTCTGCCATTATCTGGTTTGACGACGCCTCTACACCTGACGCAATAGTCAACCAAGTTAAAGATGGCATTCTCAAAGCCGGTGGCAAAGTCACTCATTTCTACACTATCATTAGGTAGGTATATCCCCAGCTCGAAGACTGCAAACCAATTACTCACTCTCCCTAACAGAGGTTTCGCTGTAATCGCGCCGGAAAAGGCACTCGCCTCTGTCCAAGCGTTGGGTGCTGAGCACTCGATCCGTGTGGAGGAAGATGAGGTCGTGTCATCACTTTAAGCATCCCGTCAACGGCGGTTGCTGCCACGGAGTTTTAGGTGACTTTTTGTAAGGTATTCAGCAGCGAGGGATGGCAGCCGTTTCTGGCGAAAGCCTTGCAATACGTACTTTTGCTACCTTACCTTAGGTACCTACTGTTTCTAGCCAATGCAATGTCCTACCTGGGTACCTAGGTAGGTATTTTGTTTCATCATCTCATCTTAGGTACCTACCTAATGCACAAACATAAGGTACGCGGAGTGGCATTCTACAGCCCTCCTGCCAAAGCAGCATGACTGATCCTCCTACCTTGGTAGGTAGGTACCTAAGGTACAATATGGACAAACGGGTAACAGGTCCCTACCTAGGTAAGAGAAGCCAGCTCACGCCTGCCTTGTGTCAATTCGCCTCGTCATCGCTGCGCGCTGCTCCCATTCCGTGATTCTGCACTCCTTACACCCTCACTGAGGACGACAACTCCCAGAATGGAGACTGCAGGAGACGCCCCTGGTGACTGGGAGGGCGAGTCTCCCAGTCTCGTGGAATCCATTGTCGCCATTGACGTAAGAGACAAGAGAGCGATGGGGTGCAGCATCTTCTCCGCGGCCGATGGGATGCTCAAAATCGCAAATGACATACCAATGGCGAACGAGAATGTGGCCGAGGAGTTTCTCAACTACGCGCAGCCAACGACGATCCTGATGTCGCGGCGAGTCCCAGAAGCAATCCTCACCTTCGTAGAGAAGCACGTTGAGAGAAGCACACAAGGTAAGCGTTTCCCGGCCTACATCGCATTGCACAGAGTGAACCAAGTGTAACCGTATCTACGATCGGATCACAGACCTTCATTTGCGCCTGATGCCGTCCTCTGACTTCTCGCATACATTTGCGTGCGAGGAATTGTCATCACTTGGCTCCAACGGTGGTTGCTCGTTTCGAAGTGCGTCCCCGTCGAACGCCGAGCAGCAATGCATGGAAAATAACGGCCGAGCCATGCAGAGATCTGGCCGTGATGAGCCGCAGTGCATGAAACTTGTTCGCTGCGGCTCGCTGATTGACCTTGAGAGCGTCGCTTCTGTGAGTGGGCAACTGGCACCCTGATGAGTCCTTGGGCGAGTTCTCAGACAAGCAGTTAAGCTGCGCCGGTGCCCTTCTTACAGAGCTACACCGACGTCGGTCACTCGCATCCTCTTCCAGCAGCCCTGGCATCTTTGACATCAGAACCGTCACGATGTTCAATCTGGCGGACCATGTCTTCGTCAGCGAGGAGTCCCTGCTTTCTCTTCAGATCATAAACCACGAGTCGCACCCAAATAGCCAAGCCTGGAGTATCGACTCGAGCAGCTCGTCTGAAAAGGAGAACCTCTCGATATACGGCCTACTTCACCCATTGGCTTCTACTCCCCAGGGGCGAGCGCATCTACGACACATGTTCCTTCAGCCCACGTCAGACCTCGATATCATTATGGACAGACAACGTACCATCTCCTTGCTTCTTCATCCCAACAACGAGGAAAAGTCGAGACGTGTCGGCTCTGTTCTGCGAAAGATGGGCAATGTAGAGCACACAATCGCTCATCTTCACAGGGGCATCAACTCGCCGTCCTCGCACCGATCATTCAATATTAGTGTATAGGGTACACTTAAAAGGTTCGCTTCTCAGTCCCTAAAACTCCGGGAGATTGTGATGGCTTTCTCTCACGCGGACCAGAGTAGCATTGTCAACAAGGCAAGTAAGCTTCAATGCTTCTCTATGTATACTACTAATGATGTTTACAGATCATTGACGGGATAAATCCCATGGTCCTAACTCGGGTGGGCGATTTGATCGAGAAGGTGGTGAACTTTGACCAAGCCAAGTCCCAGCAGCGCTATTCAGTACGGCCTGGCGTAGATGACGAGCTGGACGGATTGAAACGACAGTACGATGGCTTGAATAGCTTCTTGACGGAGGTCGCCAACCATGTTGCTCAGGATCTGCCTGTATGCGCGCGTCAGTATATTCGATCCTGCATCTTCCTTCCTCAGCTTGGCTTCTTGACTGTTGTCGAGCAAGACCATCGGCAGAGCGGTAGCAGTTTTGATGAGGAATGTGCAGGCGACGGACTATGGAAGAAGTCATTCACCGACAATGACACTGCCTACTATAAGAATCGTCATATGACGGAACTTGACGATCAGTATGGGGATATCTATTCTCAAATCAGCGGTAAGACTGGCGTTCGCTGTCTATATTGGGGGGTCTGTGCTAACTAACTATAGACAGGGAAGTTGAGGTGATGCAAAGGCTGGCTATGGATGTGATTCTCCACGAGAAGACCCTCGTAGCGGCTGCAGATACCTGCGGAGAATTCGATGCCCTTCTAGCCCTTGCCCTCGGGGCTGCAAAATATGGGTGGAAAGCACCGCAGATGACTACTGCCAACATCCTTCACATCAAAGGCGGAAGACATCCGCTACAGGAGCTGCTTTCTTCTTCCTTTGTTCCAAACGACTGCTACATAGGTGATGATGGCACTGTAGCGCCGGGACGCCACCACGTCCAAGCACTTGTTTTGACGGGACCAAATCAATCCGGCAAGAGCGTTTACATCAAGCAGGTGGCTATTATCGTCTATCTAGCGCACCTCGGGAGCTTTGTGCCAGCTGATTACGCTGTGATCGGGACTGTTGACAAGATCTTAACACGCATCTCGTTATGGGAAAGTGTGTCTGGTACGGGAAGCACCTTTGCACACGACCTTCAAGACGTCTCGCATGCTATAAAATATTCCACAGCACGGAGTCTGGTCGTGATAGACGAGTTTGGGAACGGGACGACAGCCAACGATGGTGCTGGAATGTTTGCAGCAATGCTGGATCATTTCCTCTCATCTGTAACAGGAACACCAAGAATATTGGCTGCCACCCACTTCCATGAGATATTCGCCAATGGCTATTTAAGCCATCATAGTACTCTCATGTTAGCACATATGGACGTGAGAACTGACTGGGATGCGATCGATCTAGAGAAGAAGGTCACTTACTTGTTTAGACTTGTAGAGGGTTATAGCTCGACAAGCCTAGGCAGCCAATGTGCTGTCTTAAGTGGAATTCCAGAGCGTGTATTAAATCGAGCTAGGGAAATAGGGGATTTACTTAATTAAGGTAGCCAAAAATAAAAAAAGCATTTTTATTAAATTTAAATAATATAATCTTAAATAATTTTATATTAATATAAAATAATATAATAATTATTATATATAATTAAATATTTTAAAAATAATAAGAATTTAATTATAATTATATATTAAAATTAAGTAATATATATATTTTTTTAAATTAAAAAAAGTTATAATTTAAATAAATAAAATAATTTTCTATATAATATAAATAAATAAATTTAATTAAGGCTTTAAATAATTAAAATAATTATATATTTAATTAATTATAAATAATATTAATTTAATTAATATATAAATATTAATTATTTAAGCTATTTAAGAAAATAATATAAATAGAATTTATATATTTTATTATTTAAATACTTTTATTATATTTAGTTTTTTAAGAAAACTTTTAAAGGTTTTATAAAAATTATTATTAGTATTTTAATTAAGTAATTAGTTTTTATAAAAATATTTACTAAGTTTTTTAATATTAAACTTATAATTAGTTTATTAAATAATTACTTATTATTATAATTAATATATTATTAAATTAAAGCTATAATAAAAATAATTTTTAATTATAATATTATTAATACTATTATATAATATTTATATAGTTATTTTACTTTTTATTAAATACTTTATTTACTTATAAATAATAACTTATATTAATTATAAGTTTTATTTAAAAAGCTTAAAGAAATATTATTAATATATAAAAGCTATAAAAATTATAAAAATAAGCTAATTCTTATATAGCTAGGCTATATTATTAAATTAATTATTAAATAAAAGTATTATATTAAGTATAATTTATAAAAAAAAGTATACTTTTTTTATTTATACTATTTAGCTTATATATTTAATAAATACTTAATAAAATCCTAAGTTTATTTAATTTAAAAAATAAAAAAGGAATTTTTATAAAAATCTTAAAAAAACACTTAAAAGTATTAAAAAAATTCTTAGTAAATTTCCTTAAGCTTTTTTTTTATATTACTTAAAATATATATAATAAGTCTTTTTTAAAAAAATTTTTAATATTTTTATTAATTTATATCTTAATATATTTATATAATTATTTTTATATATAATAATATTATATTTATTATATTTATAATATTTTATTTAAATTATTATTATTTTTAATTATATTTTATTTATATTTAAGTTATTACTTTTAGCTTTATTAATATAAGCTAAAAATTAATAAGTTTTAATTAACTTATTAATAGCTTTTTTTATAACTTTTATCTTAAGTTTTAAAGTAATAGTAATACTATATTTATAAATTATATTTATTATTATTATTATAAAAAGTAAAGTAACTATTTAATAATATTATTAATTTATTAATATTTTTTATATATTATAATAAATAG